GTCACTGTATGGTATCCCAAAATATCGGGGGGCATGTGTTGCCCTCTGGCGGTCTTATTCCAGCCTTAGCATCGCTATCAGCAGTGAATAGCTCCTTTCCCGAGTCCATGAGCTCGGCAGTTGCGTGGGTATGAAGTCCTCATCTCGGAGGGGGTTGGCTAGGCTGGTTAAAGTGGTTGCAGTTGCAGGGGCTGCGTGTTATATGATGCTAGGTTTGTGTTATATGCCAACTCATTGCTATCACACTACGCCGCCGCAATAGCCATGTTCGGGTATTTGTTCTAATGCGCCCCCTTTTGGCTTTTGGAGGCTGACTTGGAGGCTGAGATTAGCCGTCTGTTGCCGTTGAAGACTGTTTGGACTGGGAGCTGATATGTTTGCGAGTGTGATACCCTCCTCGGGTTGAGGCTTTCACGACCTCAGTTTGATGGGAATGTCATGGTATGATGCGCTCTGTGATGTTGGGGTTTGCTCTAACAGTATTCTATCTTGATAGAGTTGAAACGACCCGGTATTGGCTGCATACTTATCCCGCCGTGTACCTTCTGGGCCTTGTTTCTCGGGATGGTGACATTTCTTGCATGAAGTGAGAACTGATTCTTTGCAGCTTTCTGACTTTGGATGTTGAAGAGCCGCTTACAGATATGATTGAGCTGTACTTATAAACTCATTAGTATTCCGGCATCCTGGGGTGATTTTCTATGTCACGAGTCTACAGCTGAAGATTTGAGCGACGAACAATCGTCTTTTGGTTCAGTGACTACTTGTCTCATCACAGTTGTGATTCAACTTGATAGTAACACGTCGTTCAAGGGTGAGAGAGACGGAGAAAGTGAAGAGGTTTGGCCAAGGCACCAGCTTGAAAATACGTTCAAGTACGGAGCAAAGCCCCCCCTCAAGCCATGCTCATAACTAGGCTGGTGTCGTTCTGTGACTGTGTTCCAGCTTTCTAGTCGTGACGAGTACATATCTTGATGTTATTATGCTTGCTGCAGGATGGCAAACCACGGCAAGCTCGTTTTGTCATTTGTGGAAGTGGCCATAAGCTCTTGGAAATGGGGTCAACTACTTCTTTGATTGGGAAATATCTACGGATCAAGAGTTCGGTAATTTCGATTTGCTCTCACATCTCACTCATCAAGATATCTCACTACCAGGCTGTTTTCTTCACAACCAAATTATCCTGCGCAAGGCGTTCTGGTATCGAGTCTCCCTGCAGGACCGAAAGCCACCAAAAGGCCTCACCTTCTCACACGAACTATAGAGCTGTTGTCCTACAGTGCAGCGCTTCAACTACAAACTGGCAGCCTCCTTCTTGGCCGTGACCTCAATCTCAATCTTCATCACGTCCTCCATCAACGCCGCCTGGATCATGGTCGCCGCGGGGCGGACGTCGCCAAAGTACTTTTGAAGCACCGGCCATGTCTTTTGAAAGTCGTTGCGGTCGGGGAGGATGTAGCGGACGCGCACGACGTCCTTGATCTCGGCGCCGGCCTCGGCGAGGGCGGCGGCGATGTTCTCCATCGTCTGCTCCGTCTGCTCGACAATGTTGGGAGATATGACGCCTGTTGCGTAGTTGTAACTGTGCCGTTGGACTAATTAGCATATATGCCCCAACTGTACATGCGCGTTTATAAACCATGATATGAATGGGTGGGCTGGGGTTGAGGTTGGAGGGAGACACGGACCCCGTGGTTCCAGACACAAAGATGAGATCGCCCGAGACCACCGCGCGGGAGTAGCCGATTTGTGCCTCAAAGGCAGACCCTGAGCTGATATTTCTTCGGGGCATGATGGGCTGAAAGAAGGGCCGAAGAAGGCTTGATGCGAATTGATGCGAGATGTTGTGTCCGTCAGTTGTAGTTGTGGAAGGAAAGCGAAAAGGACGCGGTGGATATGATATAAGAGGTTGAGTCACTCGCAACATCCCAGGTATTCCCACATGTCAATCTCGCGATTTCTACGGGAAAAGATGAACTAAGCCAATCAGAATCTTGTCCAGAAGCCCGTAATGGCCGTATTGGGACATGGGCTGGGGATGGAAATGACCTTTGAACATGGTATCCAAATAAAAAACACCCAGCTTTAAAGCGACGCGAACGCAATCTAGACTGTATGAGACGCAACAGGTTTCGAGGCTCGGCATACACGGTCTTTGAGGCGTTTGAAGTGCGCGAAAGACAACTCGAGTACGATGCCGGTGTTGGTCACACGCGCGATGAGTCAAGCAGCCATTTTGCGGTTATCTCTTTAGGTACGGATAGGTCAACGGGCGGGTCTTTCAGAGATAAGGTACACCCACCGGACCAACCTGAGTATGGGAAAAAAAATGAAACATGGTGAGAGCGGCCTTGCTAAATTCCTCTTCAATAATCATGGAAGTTTGGCGTGTTGTAGTGAGCGTGTGTGAGAAAAAGTATAAAAATCAAATGATGTTAGGACGAGCGGGGAAAGACGATTTCGACTGAAGATTAGACGAGCTGCAGTTCGCCGCACTGTTCAAGATAGACTAGATTCCGAAGAACACGATCCAGGTCGCTTTTTTAACATCACAATCTTCGGTTCTGCCTTGGAGTATTCAAGCAATGATGACCTTGGCTAAAATCTTGACGTCCGATCGTGCTCTGGGACGGTATGAAGGAAGGTACCTTTTTACCGATCGTCTTGGAAGGTACGAGTAAGCCATGACCTGCCTCCTTTTCCTCAAATTGGTCATCGCGCATGTTCGTGACTGCCTTCCTTTACTGGAACCCATCTCATCTATATGGTTCCTTCTAGAAGAGAGCTGGGAGGCAGGTACGTCGAACGGTGGCCTCATGTGCCATCACTTCGGTTTCTACAACCGTCCCTGATGTCATTCTCTTCCATAACGTCAGACCCAACTGCCCTCCTCAGCATCTTCGTTCTAATTCTTTCTATAAACCCCTTGTCAATCAAATACAAAGCAATCGATTTGCGAGCTATACATCGTGGAGAATCTGATTCACCAAACAGTGGAAGGTAGAAGAGTCTTCGCAGTTCAACTACCATCATGTCCGTCTCGCTGTCTTCGGAGTTGTCGTCTCCGCCCTCCTTGACACAAGAATCTACCCTCTATTCGGAATACAGTCCAGACGAGGAGCCACAGACACAGAATCGAGCTCAGGCCGAGCCCAAGACAAGATCTGCATCCACAAAGTCATCATTTCTCAAGTACCCGGCCGACATCCAGCGTCTTACACGCCGCGGGCTTTGCACCTATGGCATCAACACGGGCCCAGTGCCAGATGACACGGACTGGGCCAGGCTTACTGTTCCTATGCTTAAGGAGCAGCTCGCCATGCGTGAGATGCCGGACGATGGGAAGAAGGGTATTCTCGTCGAGAGGCTCGAGAACTTGAGCACGTACAAGCCTGAGGTCGTTGCCATCAGAGACGCTCCTGACGACAAGCCATTCGGCCCTATCTCCAAGAACACTAGCAGCAACGGCGAGAAGCGCTTCTTTGTTGACACAGCTGACAAGAGCCACGTTGGTTCTGTCAAGAAAGCGATGAAGGAAGACATGTTTGTGATCAAGCAGTCCAACGATTTCGATGGTGGAGTCAGCATCGGCATCCGTGGGACTGGACCCGATACATACGAGGTCATTATCGGAACAAAGACCTCATGCACCTGCTCGAGCATAGTGGGTAACGCCGAAGCATCGTCAAACAATTGCTAACCTCAACTAGATGTTCAGACCTCGCAGCAATTGCAAACATATAATCTGTCAGCGGAAATGCTACCTTTCTCTCCTGCATCCGATTACTGACGAAATCGCAGACGTCCTGACGCATGTTTTCCGGGCACCAGCAGAGCTACTCCCACAGAGAACGCTCTTTTCCGAAGAGATCGAGAGGCTCATTGAGCGTGCCCCTAAAGTCCGCTTCACAGCAGCGGAGGCCAGCCAAGACCCCTCCATGTCGGACGGTATTGCGAAGTCCAAGGACGGCAAGTCATGCCCTGTCTGCTTCAAAGACATTGGCGAGGCAGGAACGGTGTGCTGCATTAAGTGCGGCAACCACACACACTCATCTTGCTTCGACGTGTATACGCATCAGCAGACCGGATGGGCCCTCACGTGTGCTGTCTGTCAAGCTGGCTGGTCGAACTCGGTTGTCTAAGAGCAAGATGGCAGTTTTTGAACAAGGAATCTGGAAGGGCCTGGTTGCTATGAGACATGACTATGAAAGGCGTGTGACTGGCTTCGAAAGACCAGTCAGCAGAATGCTTGACGGTGCAACCGGCTCAACAATTGTTTGCGGTGGAGGGGGAAGCTAACTCTCCGGAGTATCGTGGTAGGGCTTTACGGGCTTGAAATATCAATGAAGACGCATCTCAGACGTACTTTATCATCACTATCGAACTTGAGTCCACGGGAAGTGAATGGGAATGGCTGGCAGTGTTGATTACCTCTTCCTCTTGACGTAAATGGTATCACACAAGCTATGCCAAGCTTCAATGACGTCTGCATTAGTTCTCTTTACCTTACCTTCACCACATCGTCGCCAAGCTGTCTCACCCCTCATATACGGTCTTGGTCTCTTTGCTGTTATTGAGGTTGTCAATTGCCCGAGATCCTGGTTGATGCTGTCCTGCTATGTACTCAGAGAAGGGTCACATACTGTCTTCGCAGTTTGATCGCGCTGCAACCACATCTTATCACCGCGTACTGAAAGATGATCCGCCTACTCTTCACCCAAATTTACCTCGTACTTCTCAAGTAGACTCCTGAAAACCCGTTCTTCCTCATCCCCCTTCGTCATTTTGATGACTGAATTCCCATCATCATCAAAACTATTTTTTGCTCCTGCTTTCAAAAGCATCTCTGTAATTTCTGCATTCCCGTGAAAAATAGCCTCATGTAGTAAGCTTCTCCCTCTCCTACACCTGCTCGTCAAGCTGGCGCCGTACTTGATCAGTAGTTCAGCAATATCCGCGCGATTCAGTCTAATAGCCCAATATATGAGCGATAATCCTCCTCACGTTGACGTGGGGTTTATTTCGGCCTCAGTCTGTTCGAGGAGCCATCGAACGACTACTTCTTGCCCATTGCGGACCGCGCAACGCAGTGGTGTACAACCTTTTCCGTCTGGCGTGTTAACAGCAGCGGGACTCTTCTTGTACATCAATTGTATGAGATCGAGTTTCCCATCCCAAGCAGCTTGATGCAAAGGTATCCTCATGAGCCGGTCCCTGGCCATAACGTCAGCATCATTGTTGACAAGCCATGTTGCTATCTCCCAGTTTCCCGAAATTACGGCTAGGTGCAAAGCCGTTCTCCCTTTTCTATCTCGCAATGTTCTGTTCGCAATTTTCCACAGATATTCAACCGTGGCTTGTCTCCCGTGGAATACGGCCCAGTGAAGGGCTGTTTTCCCTGAGCCGTCAAGGACGTTGATGTCTGCGCCCGCCTCTGTCAACAACTTGACTCCTTCCACAAAACCTGTGATTGCGGCACAGTGTATCGGTGCGACTCCATCTCTGCCTTGCGCGTTGATGTCTGCTCCTCCTTCTAATAGCCTCAATATAGTGTTGTAGGGCATGCTCCCGACAGTGCCGTGAAGTCTTGCAGCCTCATAATCAATCTTGTCGTCGGGCTTTTCTTGAGTTTTGCAGGCATAGTGCAATGGTGTCCATTCAACCAAGTCTCGGGCGTTGATATCTATCCGAGGCGATCTCATCAAGGTCGTAACGATATCGTGTCGACGTACCCCGTAATGCAGAGGGGTCCAACCGAGAACATCTTTTGCGTTGATATCTTTCGCAAGACGCATTGCTTTTATAAGGCGTTTTTCGCTTTGGGTCCGGGCTGCTTCGTGCAAGTCTGTGTAATTCAACTTTTCCTGACAGCTGTTGCTGATGTTGCTGGAACCGTCCTCACTCCCACTATCACTAGTTTCGTTGCAACCGCTCTCGCTTTCATTGCAAGATACAGGGTCCTTCAGGAGGTTCAGCTTCCACGGGCGCCTCTGATTCTCATACATTTGGAGAAGGGCGGCCACAGTCGGCTCAACTCCCACATCGAGGTTGGAGAGAAGCTCAAGCTGAAGTCTTTGCTCCCAATATTTGACCTTCCAGAACCCGTGAGGTGGATCATCGTTGTGTGTCTGTATTTGTTGTAGGGCCAAATCCAGGGCCAAACTGACTTGCCTCAAGAAGTCCACAACTATGACTGTTGCTAGAGTGGATAATTCGTTCTCGAGCGGGAATGTCCTGGCGACACGGAACAGCCACAAGTATATCTCTGCTGCCTGCTGCCAGTCCTGCAGCCTCTCGTGAATTCTGGCCTTCTCCCTTGCTAAGTCGATGATGATAGAAGCCCCGGGAAGCTTTTTTTCAAAGCTAAGCGCGGGTATCATGCTAAGGTAAGCGTCACTGAGGCTACCGAGTCCGGTGCTTTCAATGTCTCTGGCCAGCTGCGAGAGCTGGCTATTGTGGAGGACGAAAGACTTCCAGCTTGTATGGGCCGTCGCTTCATGTTTTTTTCGTGTATCCACAGGACCTTCAAGCGGCTTTTTAAGTGACATTGCTGCAGTCCTGAAAAAGCTCGAGAACATGTCCTGTGCATACAGTAACTTCAAGGGACCGAGGAACTCAGCGGCCAAGAAGTCATGGTTGGAGCCATCACCCTCTGTCGTTGGGGGAGTCTCCGGTACTCCCTCCTCGCTTTTGCTTCCGCTTCCGCTTTCGTAGCTTTTACGCTCATATTCTTCAGGGTGCTTTATTTCGATCGTGAACTCGGACAGTTCTGCTGTTCCATATCGCCGACGGCCTATCTCAGACCCACCAGATCCAACGACTCTGTGGTTTTCCTTGCACAATTCATCATTTGTAACACCATCTTCTGGGAGATTTGTCAACCTGGACAACCTTATAATTCTGGTTGTCTCGCTGGGCATCCACCACGAGAGATCTCGATGCAAACTCTCCGTATATGAGCCTAGAAGGCGCAAACCAGGTCTCGAAGGCGATCCTTTGACGCGCAGCCACTTGTCGTCTTTGTTGTCTCCCACTGTGTCCTGGTGGTTTGTCTCTTCGTTCTTCTCAATGTCATCAATGGAGTAAAGCCACATAGACAAGGCTGCTTCAAGCTCATCTGCATGAGCATTCCACTTCCCTTCTATTCGGTTCAAACGAAAATAGATGAGCTGTTCTTCGAGATTTTCCCCGGGTTCTCCTCTCTGGCTCGCGAGAGACCAGGTGTAGTCAACCTGCTCTGAGTCGCGGAACAGAAGATCCATCGTAGCCTCAATGGATCGTGCAAGAGAAACAGCTTCCATGGACGCCGGCCCCTGCCAGTTGGCCAATTGCGCTATATCTTTCCTGACCATGACAACACGATGCGCAATTGATGAATTCGAATCTCTCTTTTGCATACCTTGCTCAAATTGTTCAACGTGTGCTTTCAAACACCCAATCTTCCATGGTTTGGCCTTGCACTTAGCTTCAGGTATCCACGGGCTGTTCGGAATATCTGCGAATGTCGTTGCAAACCAATCAAGTTCGAAACCTGATCGAGTCCGAAAAGATGTTGGAGGATTTGCAAGACCCCGCCGAACCCAGGATCTTACTCCGGTCATCAGGAGGATGGCGCCGAGTTGTGCAATCGATACTGACCAGTGTAACCCACGCAAGCCGAAGAACTGCACAATATATCCACATAGACTGATGGCCATTCCAATTGTCGTTTTTAGCTCTAAGGATACTTCGGGCGATTCATTCATGAGAGCAGACCCTGGCACTTCTTCCTGCTTCAATGAAGGTCCTGAGGGATTTCTTGCTTCACGCTCGCGTTCCGACGTTGTTATGAAAGGCCGTTTGGATTTTGAATAGACTGCGAACGAGTCGAAAACCTGGTCACTGACTGTTTTGGTTTGTTGTAGCCAGACCATTTGCGCCATCAAATTTTTCGAGGGTCGAAAACTCTCTTCGACAGTGCTACTCTCCACAACGTGGGCGCAAAGAAGGAGGCCGACAACCAGTAGAAGTATTCCTACCCAATGGCACGGAAATGCATACCGGGCGACTGGGTTTCCGTCCTTTAGAAAACCCAATGCTGGGTGGTACACAGAACATCCGGCGTAAGCGACGAGTCCCAGCTGGAGCAGAATCCCCCATATTGCTGCCGTGCGTAGTTCAGCTCTGCTTGTGATATTGTGAGAATTGAGGGTAATATTCGGCGAGCTCTTCCGTGGGTTTCGTGTGATAATCATGCCCGTCGTCGATGGATTTACTGGGTTTGGTGATTCCACATGGTCTTGTTGCGTTTGAGATGAGTAGTTCAACGACACTAGATTGCGAAAAAAACATTGCTCGAGACTTGCTTTCTACATTTCGGGATCAGATCGTATTCGTTTACGTGAACAGAAGTACTCACTTCGAAAGTAGTTATTCTTGACCTCCTCGAATCGCATCGCCGTCACCTTTGTCTCTTTAGTGACCCCAGACTCCGGCAGCAAGCAAATGAACTCTGCAATTGGAGCCGAGCCCATACATCTCACTACCTCATGACCATTCCAGAGCTCACAGACCTCTGTCGACGTAGATGACATTAGCTCTTGCTCAGCCACAGCAAGATTCTCTCTAGCTCTGCCAATAAGGGCCTTGAGGAAACCGGGTCCTCCGACTCTGATAGCGCTGATTGTGATAGTGATAATTCCGAGAGGCACCATAGCTAAGGCAATATTATCAGCCCAGCCGAGTGATTGACTCATGAATTGCATGGTGACCCTCTCTCCAAATGATGCGAGCAATCTTTTCGCATAAAGATGGTTATTATACATGCTTTCAAGCAAGTGAAAAGGATCTGAGAATGCGGGACTGACGGTGCTAGGTCCGAGAACAGATTGTTGACGAAGTCATCTCCTTCATCTGCTGCGACGCTCGCAGCGAACATCATGGAGAAAAGGAAGACCCTAAGCATCTTTGCTGCGATCATTGCAGATACGTGTGCAAAGAACTGTTGAGTTGATGGTGCAGGTTAATCAACGTGATCGAAAGTACGCCTTCTCGTATTTGCCAGGAAACTGAAGTGTCAAGAACGTAAGTGTGCTGACTCGGTGGCTTCAACGAAATTGGTCGAACAAAATATCCGTGAGAGTGCCCTTGTTTTCAGCTGAAGGAGAACAGGCTGTACGTAGATGCGGAAATGTCTCCCATTTGCAACAGCCTAATGCATCCACTTACGGGCAATATGCATATGCACAAAGCCCAATGTCACTGGAGCCCTTCGCTTGGCGTTGACACGTACCATACAGGAGGTCTTTCTGGTTGGCAATACTCCTCACTCTTGGTGGCAATACGGTCCTTCGCGGCCTGTCACCAGAATGTGGTAGTAATATCTGCAACTCTTTTGCTGCGCAACTGCATAGCAGCATAAACAAAAGTTCTTCAAGCCGCGTCAGGGTTTGGTGATTGGATGGCCCACGCAGGCGTCGTTTCTACATTAACTATTTTAAACACGGCTTGCATCAGAGAAAAGAGGCCACAAGGGCGCCGGCGCCGAACATTGAAGCAACAGTGATGAAGCTGGCAGTCGAGAAAAGAGAAATGCCGCTGAGTCCGTGTCCAGAAGTACAACCTCCACCAATTCTCGATCCCAGGCCAATGAGAAAACCTCCTACTACCGCCAGCTGTGGCGAGACAGCCGTATCAGCAGAACCAAGGGCAAACTCGGGGTATGCTGTAGCAACAGCCCACGCGCCGGCAGCCAAGCTCGCAGAGAAGAGAATATTGCTATACGATGGCTTCCCCTTTTCGCCGCCACCCTGAACCGCCCACCAGAAGTACCGTCCAATCTCGTCGTAGGAAGTCGACACACCGAGCATGGACTTGCGGGAGAGCAGTGAAAAAAGCTGTGCCAGACCGATCAGGAGTCCGCCGATGGTGGGAGCGACGACGGCGTAGGGACTAGCGGGAGTATACTTCATGCTGGCGTAGATGATGCCCGCGAAAAGGGCTTCCACGCCAACGAAGGCGACGGCTCTGCTGAGACCGACGCGCTCGTGGACGGTGAGCTTGGGGTTCTCGGGCGGTGCCGAGCTGGCGTTGCTCGTAAGGAGTTTCTGGAGGAAGCCGGTCCACATGATGCCGGCGAGGACGGCGCCACCGAGGACGTAGACGCCGGATTTGGTGCCGACGGCGATCTGGGCGAGGACGGTGCCGGGGCAGGAGCCGGAGATGGCCATGCCGGCGCCGAGGATGGAGCCGCCGAGGATATTGCCGTCGTACTGGGAGAAGAGACCTAGACGCGAGGGGCTGCGGGGCTTGGGGCGGACGTAGCCCGCCTGGTCTAGTACGAGGACGAAGACGCTGTATATCGTGTCAGTTGTGTGAGAGGATCAGAGGATAGCAGGTGCTGAGATGGTTAGACGTACGTGCTGCTTGCTGCGGCTGCGAGGAAGGCCTGGATCATATGCCAGTTCTCGAACTTGAGCTGGGCGATGATGACTGAGGGCTGGTAGACGCCCGCCGCTACCAAGGCGGCGCCGAAAGCGGCGCCAGAGAGAGCCGTTGTTGCCATGGCTTGGTCCGCTGTGGATGTGGGAGTGTGAATGTGTGTATATGTGCTTGTGCCGCGGGGGCGTTCTGGGACGAACTGCTGCAAGCTGGGAGTTTGGCGGGTGTGTGTTGTATATATGAGAGGTTTTCTCTTCTATGACTGGTCAAGCGAGGATGAGGTGGTGATGCGTGGTGGAAGTTCAAAATCTTCAAACTCTCCGAGCTGTCTCGGGACGAACTTATACAGTCTAAAGCCAAAACTGCCACAGAGGAGTTCAAATGTCTGGGAAGATTATCGAATGTGCCAAGTTTTCGAGTCTGCTTAGTGAATCAAGCCCGAAAGCCCAGATACGTTCGGGGACTTGAAGAGAGACGGAAAAATGGACCGGTAGCGGGGCCCTTGGTTAATAATCCTCCCCCCATAGTCAAAGGCCGAAGAGTAAGAGGGCCAACCCCTGTAGAGCTTCTACCCGCCTTGGTCAGGTAAGTGGTAGTGGTAAGGCCCCATTCTGTACTCTGTTGCTGAGGCCGAGCCGAGCGTCTGGGTTGACTTTTGTCAAAGGCGGTTTAGAGTGCAAGTGACGGATGGCTAGTGGCGTTGATTCTTAGACCTTGTTCCCTTTTCGGATAGCAATGACGCCTTTTGGGAGCTAACTCACGACATGGCGCTAGCTTATTTCTAGTCCTTTGGAAATGCGTATCTGAGGTTTTCTTCGTGGTGTGAGAGAAGCTACTTTCTCTGAAAGAGTATGGCGGTTCGATTTGCACGCATTTCAGATCCCCGATGAGATAAAGATGCATCTTCAAGAACAGGTGTTGCAGGTGGTGCGTGCGCCATTGTGGAAGGTCGGCAGTTCAGGGACCATGAAGTCCGTCAGCAAAGGATTGATTGGGCAGAGCAAGGTGTCTGAATAAGGGGGGATCAATAAGGTTGCAGGAAATCAGTTGAATCCCGTCCCAGGATGGTCCTGGATCCCGAACCCGAACCCGCAAGGGTTGCTGTCTCTCTCAGCCAAAGGGCCTGGGAGAGGACGGCGACCACTTTGAAGTAACTGTCGCCGACGTCGGGGAACTGCCGGAACGCACGGGCATCACCGAGAGTGGAGACCCCTTCTTCACCGGGATGGATTACATCTCTCGGGGGCTTCCGTAAGCTTGGGCTTCTTTCGGTGACTACTACTGTGACCGAGGGACTTCATGCTCTCTAGATCATGGATTCATGGACGGCGAGGATTAAGTGAGATGTTTCGAGAGTTTGGATATAAGAATTGAGCAAGTGACCATATTGTAAATCTCCATCTTGTGACTACATTATTAGCAAAACTACCAAAACTAGCCGATGAACCGGGTCAACCAGTTGCGAGAACATATCCACAACGCCTCACTTACACAGTCAAACATGGCCCAAGAACCCACAATCCACGAGATCTTTGAGCCGGTCACAGGCACATGGCAGTACATCGTAGCCGACCCTTCAACCAAAGCCGCAGTGATCATCGACTCCGTCTTGGATTTTGATCCAGCAAAGAACGCCATCTCTACACAAACAGCCGACGGCCTTCTCGACATGGTAAAAAAGAATGGCTACAATGTTGTCAATATCCTAGAGACACATGTCCACGCCGACCACTTGACGGCATCCAAATATTTACAGTCTCGGCTGCGGGAGGCACAGGACGGCGCCGCCCCCAAGATCTGTATCGGTAGACGGATCGGGGTCGTGCAAGAGAGGTTCGCTGAGAAGTATGGCATCTCCAAAGACGAGTACGCCAATGCCTTTGACCGACTGCTCGACGACGATGAGGTCTTCGAGATTGGAGACCTCAAGGCCAAGGCCATCCACCTGCCGGGCCACACCCCCGACCACATGGGCTACATGATCGGAGGTGAGCACTTCCCCACAGACAGTCACGAAGAATTCTCAGCCCAACACTGACCATCACTTTCAATAGCAAACGTCTTTGCGGGTGACTCCCTCTTCAATCACGACGTCGGGTCCGCGCGGTGCGACTTCCCCGGTGGTAATGCCCGTGACCTCTTCGCGTCGGTCCGCCGGCTGCTCGATCTGCCAGAGACCACCAAGATCTGGACAGGGCACGATTACCCGCCGGCCCACCGCGGACCCCTGGCGGCGACGGAAGTGGCGAAGCAAAAGACCGAGAACAAGCACCTCGCGCAGAACGTGACGGAGGAGGACTTTGTCAAGTGGCGCGAGGAGAGGGACTCAGGGCTCGGGGAGCCTAGGCTCATGCACTGGGCGCTGCAGGTCAACGTGAGGGCTGGGAATATGCCGAGTCCCACCAAGGCTGGAGATCGGTTGCTGCATGTGCCTGTCAAGATGCAGGGCGTGACTTGGTGAAAGGGGTTTTCATGTCGTGTAGGTAGTGAGAGCGTGGAAAGGAGCTTGTTTCGACTCCCGTGTATATGAGATGAGGGATGTGGAAGCGTTCATTGTATACTTAGTTACTTAGGCAAGTCGTCTTCGACAGCCAATCTTCCTATTTTGCATGTGTACGGTACATGAAGTTGTCACGAAGATCGAAAGCGGTAGAGAGCATGTAAGTGGTGGTGTCCCTGACAAGGTACATTACGTCGGTTGGCCCATGCGTTGTACCCCCCGCGCCACCGCCGCGTGGGGAAAGTGCCGAGGTCTCGTCACTGAATGCGGGGAGTTCGGCCCCGGCTGAGTGGAGGGACAGGAGGCCGGGGGACGCCTACTCCCCCACCAAATCACAACGTCAACGTCGGCAGCGACCCGGTATATCATATTATTAATCTCGCTCGGTTCAATCCTTTCTGTTCACATAAGAGCTGGCGTGGCCCCCTTTTCGTTGATCTTGCGACACTGAATTGGATATCTACAGTGTCAGTGCCGACGCAGCACATTGCATATTGACCATGCCTCACTCTATTACCGTCAAAAAGATCGAGGGGAAGCCCGGAAAGGTGTACTATCCGTAAGAAATATATTTCCATTGTTAATCATATTACCGAAATTAATTCGAATATCAGCCTCCAACTCAATGAAGTCCCGAAGCCGACTCCAGGGCCCAAAGATGTCTTAGTGCGGTTGACGGCTGCTGCTCTCAACCACCGTGATCTCTTCATCCGGCGCCACCTGTATCCAGGCATTTCATTTGATCACCCCCTTATGGCAGATGGATACGGCATCGTAGTCGAGGTTGGGAAAGACGCAGACAGAAGCCTTATCAATAAGCCAGTTCTCATCACACCCAGCCGCGGCTGGGCTTCAAGCCCGGACGGGCCGGAAGACATTCGCAAATTCAGCGTCATCGGCGCCACCCAGACGTACCCGGACGGCACCGCGCAAGATTACCTCGCCCTCCCCCAGGACGAGGTCGAGCTGGCCCCAGAGCACCTCACACCCGCCGAAGGCGCCGCCCTACCCCTCGTCGGGCTCACGGGCTGGCGTGCGCTCGTGACGAAGAGCGGAAACGCGGAGAAGGGCAGGAACATTCTCGTCACGGGCATTGGGGGCGGCGTGGCGCTCCAGGTCCTCCAGTTTGCCGTCGCGTTTGGCTGCAACGTCTACGTCACCTCTGGCGACGAGGCCAAGATTGAAAAGGCTAAGGGTATGGGCGCCGCCGGGGGCGTGAATTACAAGAAGAAGGGGTGGGAGAAGGAGCTGCAGGCCCAGCTGCCCAAGTCGCGGCCGTACCTCGATGCAGTGGTCGACGGTGCCGGCGGAGAGATTGTGGGAAAGGCGGTCAAGGTGCTCAAGCCCGGCGGTGTCATTAGCCAGTACGGCATGACGGTGTCGCCGCAGATGGACTGGCTGATGCAGGCTGTTCTCAAGAATGTGGAGCTCAAGGGCACGACTATGGGTTCCCGAGAAGAGTTTAGAGACATGGTTGCTTTTGTGAGGGAGAAGAAGATTAAGCCTGTTGTCAGCCGAACGGTCAAGGGACTGACGAACCTTGAGGGCATTGACGGGCTGTTCAAGGATATGGAAGCGGGCAAGCAGTTTGGCAAACTTGTGGTTGAGTTTGAGGAGCCCTCTGCGTCGCCTAAGCTGTAAGGGAGAACTTTGTGTTCCAATGTACGACATGGGTACAAATAGAGTATCCATGATGGCATCGAGGATTTCTCTGAATTTAATAACACTTTACAAGAATTGAAAGTTCTCTTACTCAAGGAATCCATTGTTCTCCATAGTAAATGGTTCCATTCGGTTGACCGCTATCTAAGAGATTCTCAGCCAACTCGTACGTCTATTCCTTATGGGTGAAGTTGATTGAGCAAGCCTGTCATGTCCTCCAACGTGTCAATCAAACGTGTAGCCTTGAGTACTTTGCTGTATTCAGCAGGGCCTACGTTCTCAAGAGGCATAGTTGCTACCTGCGCAGAGGATTTGCCTAGAGATGTGTTTGCGCCTTCTGATTGCCTTCCAAGAAAGGTCACACAAACACAATTTTTGCCATGGGCTCTTTCATAGGACTTTCGGTACTTGCTTGAGTTGTGCCATCCCTATACCGTTTCTCCAGTCTGTTCTGCCACCTCACTCTTTGCGTAGGCTTCTTGATCAGACCAAGTGTAAGTCAGGGAATATACACACGTGATAGGTGCCGCTAGACATAATGAATATTCACCCCCAAATCCGGCTACTGGTTTCTTCCAGTCCACCCTCTTGCCTCACACTGGGTAAAGGACCCCTCTTGGGAGGCACTTCTCTCCGCTCGCCCAGCTCCTTCTTCTTTCACCTACAATAAAGAAGAAAAGATCCTGCCTCTCCCTGACCCATCTCAACCACAGCAACACACTAAGCTTCTCGCTCGCAAACTACTAATATAGCTTACGCAACCCTATCATGATGTGGCATAAAGCTATGTTCGTTGTCACGGCACTGGCCTTGATGTTCTTTTCGGGCATCAATGTCGTGGCCGCTACAGGTGGAATTGCAAACCTCAACACCGTTGAGACTCCCACTGAAGCCACCTTCAGCAACGGTCTTTCCAAGCGTAGCTTCTCCATTGGCCCTCACCTTGCTCCCAGAGACTTCCCCCACGACAATCCCCTCAATATCACCGAAGAGGAGGCCCTCAAGCACGGCCACAAGGTCATCCCCGTCAACAAAGAGATCTGGGCCCACCTCGTCAAGACCGCCGGCCTCGACCGCAAGCGCGAGACCATCGAGTACAACCCTGAGCAGCACGACGAATCTCTCTCTAGCATCGGCAAGCGAGTCCCGAGATGCGGCGAAAACTACGACCTCGAGAAGGAACCCCCTGACCCGCAAAACTGGTGTACTCCAAGCCCGATTGTCGGCGACTGCCAGCTCGGTATCTGGTGCCAGGCCGACTGGCCGGGCTGGAGGCAGTGGCCTAGCCGCGGCTGGGTCTTCAACAACGCCTGCCAGCTTTTCGGAGAGAACGTGCCTTTCCAATGGGGCGACTGGCAGCCAATATGCAGTCCCCTTCCCTACGTCACTCTCTTCTTTGCCCACAAGGACCGCTGGCCTCACATGGCGTAAGTATCATCCTCTCAAAACTTTATATCGCTTCTTGTTGAATGAGGACTAATACAGTCTACTCTAGGTACGGTGGCAAATACTACAACAGCTACGCCCCAGGATGGGAGATTTACTATCCCGAATCGCCAGAGGGTGGCCCTTTCCCGGCTAGCTACTACTATCATCGTACCTTTGATTGCTCGATGAAGCCGAAAAAGTGAGGCTAGATCGGTACAGATGTCTGAAGGGGCAGTCGAATGCTGGAGTTTGTTCCTCTGCACGACCGATACCTCGATCACACGCCCTCAGCAATGCGAGGAATGAGCAAAGATTGGCCCTAAAGAAACAGAACTTGCCTGGAGACACACAAAGGTTGAAGATTAAGAAAATTTTAGGCCACCTAGCTTAGGTAGTGAACACCGCCTCAGTTTCTCAAGTTAATTGCATAACACATCGTGAACTTTTCCCTATATTGACATTTCGCTTTTGATTTACAACCCTTCAGGCGGTGAAGTTTGAGAAGATCGCCCACATGTCAGAAGACTCTTGAACTCTTGAATGGAAGGGTATCTTGAGTGAGCTAACACCTCACCTACGTACGTGGCGACCCCTTTTCTGCAAAGATACAACAGACACCTGCCCCAGACTACACAATTTCTTCCGCTTCCTCCACATCTCAGATCCTCTTTACCCCTCACTCGTCGTCCTCGCTCTTCTTTCTCTTCTTCCTCTTGTGGCCGAGCTCTTCGGGGGGTATAAAGTCCTTTTCCCTCTCGCGCAACTTCTCCTCCTTCTTCTGCTTCTGCTGCTCCAAGCGCTCGGCCTGCGCGGCCTTGTTCTTGGCCTCCTTGCCCAAAAAATACTCGCCCGTCTCGATCTGCTTGTCGACCTTGCTCTTCTCGGGCGCGGGCGGGAAGGGCGTGTAGACCTTTTTGGTCTTGTCCGTGACGTTGTGCGGCACGCGGCGGCGGCTGAGCGACTTCTTTTTGAAATTAGGCAGGAAGCGGTCCCAGCTCTCCTCGGCGAGCTCCGGGTCCTTTGCGAGCTCGCGCTTGATCATGAGCTCCTTGACGTGGTAGATGGGGTGGATGTTCTCCATGCAGTCCTGGACGACGCGGCGCACCTCCTTGAGGCCCTTGTAAGGGCCCATGACGGAGACGGTGCTGCCCTGCACGAGGATGTAGGTCTGGGTGAGCAGCTCGAGGGCCTTGAGGGTCGAGCCGTTGGGGCCGAGGATGCGCTGGCGGCGCTTGACGTAGCGCTCCTTGTTGCGGACCAGGTTGCGGATCTTGATGATGTCGCATGCGACGCCGTCGTCGAGGATCTTGAGAGCCTGCGGCGCGGGGACGCTTCGGGCCAGGAGCTTGATGAGGTCGCGGGCGTTCAGAATGGCGGCGGGGTCAAATGTTTTTCTGGAGGTAGAGAACAGCATGTTAGTTACTGTGGTGGAGTGGGTCGAGCATTGAAGAAGATTATTGCAGACTGGAATACGGACCTTGTCGTCTTGACGGTCATTGAACCCTCAATCAAGTCGAGCGAGCAAGCGATGCCCGTCTTCTCGAGAGCCTTTGTAACGAGAGGCCATGCCTCCTTGAGGTACACTTCGCGGTACTTGGGGAAAACGATCTGGAAGGAGGATTCCTCAGCAAATGTGCCGCCGGCGTTGTCGGCGGGTGTGAAGGCGTCGATTTTCCATTTGTCAATGTCGTCCGTGTCCCACGGCTTGTCCTTCTTGTATGTGGAGGGCATCTTATCGGTTGTCGCGTGTTTGCAAGACAATGGAATTGACGCCGAATTGTATACGAGAAAAGTTTCGTAGTTACTTACTGGTGGCTGCGGCGAACTTTTTCTTATCGATAACGCTGGAGACGGCACGTGGGGTACACCGG